AGATTGCCATTTAAAGATGCCGTACACTTGGCAATATCTATCAAAATTACAAGTGCACAGACTTTGAATTTCTCCAACTTTACCCTTCAGCTCTCTATGAAAATGTGCGAAATGGCATGCGTATGTCATGGCACAAACAATGGAATGTTATGGGATGTTCTGCAGCATTTATAGAAGAAGGTAAAATAATCTCCAAGATGGTTGTGACATGAAAATGCTACTGTGCAGGAATGGTGGGAATGGGGAGGATATCTCTATATATGGGAATGGGGAGGAGCATAGACATGTAGGCTGTATATACATGTATATATGTGCAAGATGATTAATCTATCTCTAGGAGAAAACATAAGAAACTATTAACCTTATTTATCCCTGATTTGGTGACAGAAATAATAAAGGACTGACTTTTCACCGTATATTCTCCGTAACTTGAGTTTGGGCAGGCATGGTAGCTTATGCCTGCTGTCCCAGCACTTTGGGAGGCTAAAGTGGGTGGATTGCTAGAGCTCAGGAGTTCAAGAGCAGCCTGGGTCACATGATGAAACCCTGTCTCTACAAAAAAAAAAAAAAAAAATTAGCTGGGTGTGGTGGCGCACGCCTGTAGTTCCAGCTACTCAGGAAGCTGAGGCAGGAGAACTGCAGTGAGCCATAATTGTGCCATTGCACCTCTAGCCTCACAACAGAGGAAGACCCTGTCTCTGGTTTGACAAAGATGGTCTTTCCCAGTATCCTTTGGTATGCAGAGCTTCCTGGAAGGGAGTTGGCCAGTAAGACTTGAAGACTACTGAGCCAGCCTACCCCCTCTCCAAGCCATGAGGCCTCCTTGGAGAATGGGGGTGGTAGCAACTGAAACTCTGGCAGGAGTGGACTATGAAGGACTCCTGCAAGGGGCTGCCACCTTCCAAAGGCAAGTGGTTTATACCAGGGAACTTATTCTCCACCAAGCCTTAGAGATTGACGGGGCAGGGGCTTGGGCCAGTGTGTGTGGCTGTAGCTGCAATACCTCCTGTCCCAGCCTTCCCTGGCCACTCCACCCAGTTTCATTGTGGAGGTCGTGGTTAGCATATAGCAGCTGGCATTGATAACCAACTGATAGCCTAGATACTGCATTTTACAGAGGACTTACTTCCAATTGATAGAAATTCAGACAGAATTAGTGAGAAAATACTATTTTAGAGAATTGAAGTTCACCCCGCTGAGGAGAAGGGGTCCTTCAAACAACGCCTTGAGTCTTAGAGTGAGTCTGGTGCCATGTGCCTCTGTGTTTTAAACCACCCTGCAGAATTCTGTCTCTGCAAACAGGACCCCAAGAAGGGTTACTGCAGGTCGGGACTGGAACGTGACCGGGCTCAATTCAAGCGAAGTCAACAACTATTTCTGAGTTCCCCTCCGTACCAGGTGCGTGTCTAAGCCCCAACCTGCTACTATAGGCCTTCATGGCAGTCACCTTTCTCAGATCCAGGAGTCCACGTTGCACAACTCCAGGAGTTCAAGGCTGAGCAACACAGGAGACCTCTGGGCTCTAAAAAAGAAAAATTAAAATGAAAAATAAAACATAAAGCTGTTGGCTGCTGCCACAGACTCAAGACAGCCTGAGCAACTCTGCATCAGCCTCCAAATCTCCCGACAAGAAAACTGCTGTGTTTTCCAGCATGGAAACTGCCCGGCATGGTGGCTCATGCTGTAATCCCAGCACTCAGGGAGGCCAAGGCAAAAGGATCGCTTGAGCCCAAGAGTTCAAGACCAGCCTGGGCAAACATGGCGGTAGACCCCCATCTTTACAAAATAAAAGTCAGGCATGGCGGCACATGTTTAGTCCTAGCTTACTCAGGAGCTGAGACAGGAGGATCTCACTTTGAGCCCAAGAGTTCCAGCTGCAGCAGAGCTGTGAGCGGTACCACTGCACTCCAGGCTGGGGGACAGAGCGAGGCCCCGTCTCAAAAACAAACAAGTAAACAAACAGACATCATGGTGAGAAGCAGCTGTGACCAGAATTTCTCCTGCCCAGTGAGTGAATTTTCAGATGTCCAACCCACTGCAACCACAGTTTCACTATCTGGTATCAAAAGCAAGGTATTTTCTATACAGAGGATTGCAGACACATAGCAAGCATTGTTTTCAAAATAATCTTTTTACTTTTCTCACAAGATGAGTTTGAAACTTGTTTTTATATCTCATATTAAAAATAAACCTAGGAGTCCAGAAACTTGCCACTAAACCTGGAGCCATGAGTACCCCTTCCTTCCTCCAGCCCCAGTTTCCTTGTCTGTGAGGTGGGGAGGATCTTGATCTTGATCTGAGTAACCCTCTGCACATGGCCCCCACGTGAATAAATCTCCGCTTGCACTTTGGCCTTTTCTTTATTAGTTCTTCTAGCTCCTAAGTAATTCGAGATATTCTGGGGAATGTGATTGATAATATTACAGGTGCCGCCACGTAGTTTCCAGATCTTTCCTGAGCCACGCGAATGATCTGTCCTCCAGCACATGAGCCGATGAAGCAGGGGCAAAGGAGAAAGTGAGTTACAGGTGCTGCATCGGGAGTGCTTCCTGTTGCTCCCGAGTCCCCAGCCCTGCTGGCCTCAGGGAAGCCAGTTTGAGCGATGGCAACAGAGGGACAGCCTGGGAAACCCAGCTGCTCGTCTGTTGGTCACTGTCGTCAAGGGCAGGCTGAGAAGGACGTGGGCCAGGGATAAGGGAGCCATCCCTGGACTTCCTGGGGCCCATGAGACCTCCGGACAGTGAGGCAGGACAAAGGGCTCCAGTGTCTTCATCTACTGTAAATGGGAATCTGGTTCTTTTCCTGTAGCCCTGGCGCCTCCATAGAATAAACACACCAGGCATAGTAAGTCTTTCCCTGGGGCGCTCAGCAGAGAGGAAACGAGAAACTGGGAGGCTCGGGAGAAGCAGGGCTGGAAGACCGCATAGGAGTCAGAGGAGGGAGCACCTGAGGGGCGCCTCGAGGCCCTCACTGTAGAGGATCTGCACTGTCCTGGCCTCTTTCTCTCTGTGTGGCGATCCTGTCCACCCTGCTCCTCCCCACCTGCACAAGCTACACCACAACATCCCCAGCATCAGAGGCAGGAGGCCTCTGACCTTGGGCCCAATCCTTAGCCTGGTCCATTCTACAGAGAAGAAACTGAGGCCTGAGAGTTGGCTGGGCCCCCCAGCGAGACACCTCTGTGCTTCTCTTAATGAAATATTCTGCGGCCAGGCGCGGTGGCTCTACGCCTAATCCCCAGCACTGTGGGAGGCCAAGCGGGTGGATCACTTGAGGTCAGGAGTTTGAGACCAGCCTGGAAACATATGAGTCCCAGTCTCTACTAAAAATACAAAAATTAGCTGGGCATGGTGGTGGAATTTAACCTGCTACTTGGGAGGCTGAGGCAGGAGAACATGAACCGGAGAGGCAGAAGGTAATGGCCAAGATTGCACCACTGTGATCACTTGGTGACAGAGTAAGACTCTGTCTCAAAAAAAAAAAAAAAAAAAAGAAAAAGAAAAGAACAGAAAAGTTCTCACAATGAAGCAGCCATGGGTCCCTTTCTGAGGTCCCTTTCTGCAGAGGACCCCTAGTTCTCTAGGTAGAGGTGAAGCCAGTACAGGGGTACCACATTGGCCCTGCAGCTCTGATTAACTGGCTGTGCTGTGGGCATGAGTCCCAACTTGTACCATGGGGGCTGGGAGAAGAGTAAGACCATGCCCCATCCACTTTAGATCATGAGACAATGTTAGAACAACAAAGATGTTGCTGGTTTCAGGCCATGCAGCTTTGTGGACGCAAGATCATGTCACGCAAGGAAGGAGTCAGGCTTGACCATCACAGGGGCGCTCAGAAACTTGGCCAGGAGCCAGCCGGGAGTGGTGTCTCAATCCTGTAATCCCAGCACTTTGGGAAGCCAGGGCGGGTGGATCACTTGAGGCTTGCAGTTCGACTAGCCTGGCCAACATGAGAAACCTGTCTCTACTAAAAAGACAAAATCAGCCAGTGCAGTGGCATGTGCCTACAGTCCCAGCTACTCTGGAGGCTGAGCGAGGCAAGAGAATTGCTTGAACTCTGGGAGGCAGAGAGATTGCAGTGAGCCAAGACTGTGCCACTGCATTCTAGCCTGGGGTATTACAGCAAGACTTGCCTTAAAAAAAAAAAAAAAAAAAAAGAAAGAAATAAAGAAAGTTGGCCAGGAGCCATCCAGGACCCTGGGTCCCCAGACCATCCTTATCCTCATATTCTAACAGCGCAGGGAGGTTGGGGAGGGGTGTGGTTACCAGAGGACCAGCAGCTGCAGGACTGATCCCCTTCCCTGTCCGGTGCAAACGGGGCGGCCTGGGGGAGAATGGTAACAGGCTGAGATATCCCAGGGAGTTGGGCCACTTTTCTAGGCAGACCAGCAACAGTGTCCCCTGTCACCCTGCCAGCCTCCATGGCACCACACAGCATGTCTGAGGGGCTCCTTCCAGCTCCCAGGCCTGGGGGTTTCACACATCCCTGTCTGATGCTTACATCTCTCCCATCCTCTCTGCCAAGTGACCTCAGCTTCTGCTTGAACTTCCCACTAGTAGGTGAGTCATGACCCAGGGAGGCAGCCTCATCCCGTTATCCCAGTTGAAGGTGGCTGCGCGCCAAGGGCTGACTCCACAGCGGGTCACAGACAAAACCTGGAAAGCAGAGTTGATGCCAAAGAGATGATGAGACCAAAACAGTGAGAAGCCCCAGTTTCTCACCTTGGTGCATGATACACAGCAGGTGCTTAACTCCATGCTGACTTCACGGACTCTCAGAGCCATAGCTGCTGGCTGTTCTCAACCACCCAGCTGCAATGACACCAAGCCCTTCTAAGGACCTCTACTCTGGCAAAATCAACACTTGTTCCATCTCCGTGTGTCCCCATCCCTGACAGGCACAAGATCACCAAGCTCACCTTCCTTCCCTTCTGCCCACTTCTAGAGGTGCCCTGGCACAGCCAGGGGCCTCATGCCCAGAAGCCGGGCTCCTGCACCTACCACGGTGCTGTATTCCACCTGCACCTCTCTTGGTGGTGCTGGCTCTTCCTGCAGAGGCCACGGCCAGTAGCTCCAGATTCGCGTGTAGTGCAGCTCACTCTGCTCGGCAGCCTGGGTGGGCGGGAGGTCCCAGGTGGGTGTCCACGGAGCTCTGCAGCCTCTGTCCCTGCATGTCTGCACGTGTCTCCCCCTCCTCTATGCTCTGAGCAAACAGCCCCCACTTCCTCCTGCCTCCACCCCACCTGTCCAGCAGTTGAATGTTCCCCAGGCCGCGCTCACGGGAGGGCCTCCCTTCATTCCATTTGCCCTGTTTGGGAGGGGACAGGCTGGCCAGGACTCAGAACAAGACCCAGTGACCACATCTCCCAGCATCGTTTGTCCTGCTCTGGGTGAGCTCCCCGCTCCATGCATCCACCATCCATCCTCCATTGGCCGATGGGACTGTCCAACTCCCCAGCATCCTCTGTACCCTCCACCCAGCCACCTGATACACTTGCTGAAGCCCCCTTTACCTGCTTGGGGTTCTGGGACAGCTCCGAATGCTCACCAGCTAGAGATAAGAGGACAGGAAGGAGGTTGAATCCTGGAGCAAGGGCCAGGATGGAAGGTCTCATGCTTTCTGGGAAAAGGCCTTTCTCAGGAGACTTCCAGCCCTGGGGACCTATCCTTCAGGCCTGAAGCATGTGTAGTAGGAACTCAAGAGTTTGTTGAGTGAGACTCTGTCTCAAAATTTAAAAAAGAGAAAAGAAAACAAAACAAGAAATCATAGATGAATTTATAAAGGCATAGAAAAAAAGACTGGAAAGACACCTCAGGTGCCAGTGCCTGGTTTTCCTTAGGTGGTGGGTTTTTAGTTATCATTGATGATGGGGGATTACTTCCTTCTTTGTGCTTTTACCATTTTTCAAATTTCCTACAATAATCACATATCCTTCTTAAGGGAGGAGTGAGAGCCTTTCTGGGGTGAAAGGGCACAAGGGAAACTGAAAGGACTCCAGAACTCAAACAACCCAGTGGCGTCCACGTGGAGTGCTGAAGTTTAGATCAGTTGCCAGAAATGACACAAGCAAAGCAGACGGGAAAGAGGAAGTGATTTTCTTCCCATACACCCTGTACAGATCTACTATAGCTGATTTCTCCCCCAAAAGCCTGGGCGCCACGGGAAGCATTGGGGGTGCGTGTGAGCAGTGCCCCCCACCAAGTATGCACCAGCCTATCCTGGGTAGCCATGAGTGGGACAGATAATCCCATCTTTCCCACCCCAGTCTCACTTTTGCAGTCTTGAAGGCTTTGGACAAAGATTCCCCCTGAGAATCTTCTGCCCATGGAATCTTGAACTCTCCAAACAGGAGGTTTCAGGCTTGGCACTTGACCTGGCCAGAATCTGCTCTCCTAGAGACCGGTGCCATGCCACCTCCACTTGTTCCTCTGTTCCTGTGCTTATTCAATTCGCTCATCAGGTATTTAATATTGAGCACCTACTTACTGAGTGCCAAGAGTTTCTGTTCTCTCTTTTAATCTGAGCTCAGAGGAGGGCAGCTGGATTTCAGAGGCTGCCTGGAGCTCCCCTGGGGTGCCTCACTGTGGCTGGAGATATTGAGTAAACACATTAATTTGATGGATGGTTCTGTACCTCCTGAAGCACATGCCTGTGGGAAGACAGGTGAGGACACCAGCAATGATAGTCTGGTTTCCAAAAAGGCTGGTGACAGCAGAGGTACAGTCAGGAGGGGTCCCCAAGTCACCTTGAGTCAAAGAAAAGATCCCAGAGAAAAGAAAAAGTCTGAGGACCACCGTGAGTCCACTGGGAGCAAGCTGGGGAGAGAGGGCAGGGGAGGCCCTCCAGGTGTCCAGAGCAAACCCAGAAGGAGAAGAGATGCTGAGGTTGAGGCTCTCATTAAAGGAGAGACAAGCAGTTGGTCAAAAATTCTTGATGGGGAGAGGGAGGTGGGTAGAGCTACAGATCGTGGAGGGCCGTGACTCCTGGGGAGACTCCGGGACTTTTATGGTGGGGAGATCATGCAAGGGTTTATTTTATTGTGTAGACATGGGGTCTTGCTGTGTTACACAGGCTGGTCTTGAATCCCTCGGCTCAAGCAATCCTCCATCTCAGCCTCCTGAGTAAGCTGGAACTACAGATGCACATCACTGTACCCAGGTCACCATGCCAGGGTTTTAAACAGAAAAGGATCATTGCTTCATGGGCTAACCACCCTTGGTTGGCAATGGGAATGCTCTGCTAGGGAGCCACAGCCTGTAACCACCACGCACAAGGATGCCTCCTCTGGGACCTGCCCTGTAGGATCACCCAGGGTGTGCGGTCTGGGGTCAGATTTGATAGCAATACTGTGAGACGAGGACATAGCTTTGAAGATGAGTGTCTGTGGTCAAGGCCTGACCACCCCAGGTGGGGCAGAGGGCGTGGGAGCCAACTCACCTTTGATCCGCTTCTGAAACATCCTCCAGGCTAGGCAGGGAGGCTCCCCACCAACAGAAGCAGCAATAACGCTAACAGGGAGAGAGGACAGCGGGAGCCTGGAGGAGGCACAGGGTGGTGAGGGCAGGGTGAATTTGCCTTCTCCAATTTATTTTTTTTTTAATTTTAATTTTTATTTATTTATTTTTGAGACAGGATCTGGCTCTGTTACCCAAAAGAGGTTGAGGCAGTGGTGATCATAGCTCACTGCGCCTTGAACCCTGGTCTCAAATGATCCTCCTGCCTCAGCCTCCAAGTAGCTGGGTCTACAGGCACAGGCCACCACGGCTAATTTTTAAATTTTCTGTAGAGACGTAATCTTGCTATATTGCCCAGTATGGTCTCAGACTCCTGGGCTCAAGCCACCCTCCTGCCTCAGCTTCCCAAAGTGCTGGGATGACAGGCATGAGCCAACATACCTGGTCTCCTTCTCTAACTTTTTAAGTAGATAGATACAATAATTAAAAATAGACAGTATAAAGCCTGCTTTCTACACACCCCCATTTACACATTCCCCAATTTCCCCACATACACACACATGCTGTTCTTAAGAACCTTCCAGAGTTTCTTTATGTGTATACAAGCAAATACGAATGTACGGATTTCCTCTCTTCTTTTCACACAAAGGAGGCCTCTAACACTATTCTGGTTTTACTTTTTTACAACACATCTTAGAGGTCTTTCTAATGTCAGGCATAAAAAGAAGTCCCCTCACTCTTCCTATAGCTGCAGGGTATTCCAATACGTGTATAGACAGTGATTTATTTAAATGTTCCCTCTGAATGGGCATTTCCCCCAGTCCTTTGCAATGGTAAACGTTGCCTATAAATCGCCTTGCAGCTCCACCTTTTCACACCTGACCAGGCAGCAGCAGACTGACCAGGAGGCTGATGCAGCCCAGCTTCAGGCCCCTCCACTGTTTGGGCTCCCCTTCCTTCATGCCTATGTTTGCATCCATAATTTTGTCATATTTTTTCTTTAGATTTCCCACCACTAACCCACCCCGCAAATTGCTCAACCTTCAGGCCCCACAGAACCCAGTGCTGCCACTGTGTGCATCTACAGGTAAGCTTTCTGGAAGAGGCAGGTCTAAGCCTGAACTTTGCCTTGTCTTATATGTTGGCAGAAGCCTGTAGAGGGGTTTCTGGGTGTTGTTTAGTAAAGAATCTGGCTGGCCTTCGTCCCCAGCTCTTAGGAGGGAGGCTCTAAATCCTTGGAATTTCCCAAGAATTAGGAGTGTCTTTGTTGTTCATGAATCACACCTGGACTTTGGTAGGTGATGAGATATTAGGATGGGGCTGGTCACCAGAAAGACCAACCACGTAATTAGAGATCTGGAGCTCTGAACTGGCCTAACTCTCCCAAAGAGGGATTGAGGTGGAGACAGTTCAATCACATCATACCTATGTAATGAAACCCCAATAAAAACTCTGGACGCCAAAGCTTGGAGGAGCTTCCTGGTTGATAAATATATTGAGGTGCAGTGGGGAGGGTGCAGGTGATGCTCCCTGATTTTAGCTGGAGAGGGCACAGAAACTGTTTGGGATCCTCCCAAGCCTTGTCTTATGTGTCTCTACATTGGCTGGTCCTAATCTTTATCCTTTATCCTTTATGATAAAACTGTAAGTATAATACTTTCCAGAGTTCTGAGTCTAACAAACAGTTGAACCTGAGGGGGTCCTTGGAACCCCCAAACAGCCAGTTGGTCAGAAGCATGGTGGCTCTGGGATCCCCAAAGTTCAACCGGCATCTAAATCAGGGCGGTCTTGTGGATATGGAAGCTTTCACCTGTGGGGTCTGCACTAACACTGAGTGGCTAGCACCAGGATTGAATTGTGGGGTTTTGGGCTGGAATAGGGAGTCCATGAATCCTGCAGCCGCTCTTGTGACTGCACATGTTTTTCTGAGGAGAGTGTCCAGATGTCAGATTCTGTGTGGGGCTGGTGACCCCCAAAAAGGTTAAGAACTACTATTTAGAGAGGAGAACTCAAGGCTTTGGAGTCACATAAACCAGAATTGGAAGCTTAGCCTTAGCCTCTTGTAGCTACTTGACTGGGCAAATTGTTTAATCTCTTCTGAGTCTCTATTTACTCATCTGTAAAACTGGGATTGATGTGGGTTGGCTGTGTCCCCACCCAAATCTCGGGCCTTGAATTGTAGCTCCCATATAATTCCTCTCATGTGTTGTGGGAGGGACCTGGTGGGAGATAATTGAATCATGGGGTGGTTTGCCCACACTGTTCTCGTGGTAGTGAATAAGTCTCACGAGATCTGATGGTTTTATAAGAGGAGATCCCTTTTGCTTGGTTCTCATTCTCTGTCTGGCCTGCTGCCACGTAAGACATGCCTTTTGCTTTCTGCCTTGATTGTGAGGCCTCCTCAGGAACTGTGAGTCCATTAAACCTCTTCCCCTTTATAATTTATCCAGTCTTGGGTATGTCTTTATCAACAGTGTGAAAACAGATTAATATCGGGAATGACAACAGTACAGGGCTGCAGTGAAGGGCAAACGAGAGCACTCATGTGAAGCATCTAACACGGGCCTCGTAGGATGTCACCAGCCCTCAGTAACTATCAGTTTCCTTCCATCTGCCCCCCGACTTCTCCCGGACCTGAGCCCCCATCCAAAGCCAAGAGCAGGTCCAAGCCGGGGTGTACAGACTGTGGCTTCCAACCTGGGCCTGGGGCAAAGGGAGTGATGCACACCTCTGGCTGACCCATATGGCCGAGGTCCCTGCCCTGGGCTCCTCCCCGCACAGGGCCCCTTCCATGTCTCAGGGGCTAGGGTGCTTACTGTGAGCTCACGACCTCCTCATTTTCCTCCCAGTTGCTGGTACTGTGGGTGGCACTCACTGTAAACAGGGAAGTGGATGATACAGGTGGAAATACAGTTGTGATTGTTGAAGTCTTGGCTGCAGTGATGCTTGTAGGTGTCATTGACATTGATGCTGGTGGCAAAACCACATTATCAGACCCAGGGAGCCGTCCTCCGGCTCTCCCACCCCTCAGGATGCCTTTTTGGTTTGATTTCACACAAAATGTTCACTCAGGAAGGGGACAGGATGCAGGACCCCGGGGCCACAGTCTCTCCAGGACCCTCCTGGGCCAACTGAGCATTTCTGAACAGGATGCAGATGCCACTCCCAATGGTCCTGATTTTCTATCCTGCTGATGAGGGTCCAGGTCTCCTGCAAGCCTCCATGCTGCAGAGGAGTCTGTCTACACTGCAAATCTGACCTGTCTTGTGCTAAGGCTCCCCCTGAGGGCAGCAGCTTCCCATCTGGCCCCCCAGCCTCTCTGTGCAGCCTCACCCTTCCCCCACGCAGCTGCACTTCCGTGGGGCTGAGCCACAGGTGCACTCCTGCCTCCTTCACAGGCAACGCTCTCTCAGCCCCCCTGTCACCGGACCCTCCCCTTCTTCAATACTGGGCAGACATGTCGGCTGCTCCAGGAGAGACGTCCTGACTGTGTTCCCCTGGCCCCCACCTCTCTCTCTCTTACACACACACACACACACCCACCACACACATAGTCGGCTTCACGTCTCTGATCTGATTCCTGCCCCAACAATTCCAACCTGAGCCTATTTAGGTGCTGACGGAAGGAGGGGCTCACCTGGGAACACGGACACCTTAACCTGGACATAGGGATCATAAAGGTCTTGGAGCAACGGTGTATCCACCCCACACCAGTATGTGCCTGTGTCCTCCTCTGTGAGGTTCTCCAAGGTCACTGTGAAGCTGAGGTTTCCAGGACTGTCCCTGATGGACACTCGGCCATTCATTTTTCCTGCTGGCCCTTTGGTCTCCACAATCTTGTCACATCGGAGAACCCGTGGTGGTCTGCACCAGTATTTGTTGAGAGTCTTGTGTTTCTCCTCATAGCAACACTGCACGCTCAGGGATCCCCCCACGGGGCCGTCCACGGTGCTGGGGCCTCTCAGAGCAAAACAACCTGGAAAACACAAGCCCGAGTCCCAGCTCTTCCTCAGATGAGCCTGGTCAAGGGTGCCCTGGGGTCAGGGCTGCATGGACCCTGGGGGTGTGGAGGAGGTAGTGGCAGGCAGACAGACCTTGTCCACCCAGAAGCGGGGACTGAGAGGCTCCCTCCATGCACAGGTGGAAACGGGGCAAAGGCTTTCCAAGGAGACTGGAAGAGCTCAGGCTGGGCGCCCTGGGGTCACCTCCTCCAAAGATTCCCCAACTGCACATCAGCACCCCCAGCCCTCAGCCCCTGACTCCTTCACCCATATCAGCTCCATCAGCCAGATTTACACCTTGAGCATTCTCTTTTCTGCTCTGCCACCCCCAAGATTTTGCTCATAGCAGCCTCTTTCTCCAGCCCCTGCCTCCTTTCCCTTACCCTTCCCAATCCTCTCACCCACTGGGGGCCTCCTGCTTCCAAACCTGCCAGGACCGTGAGAACTCGCCCCTCAGCACCTGCCCTCCCGGGAGGGCCACCCCAGCCCTGGGCGCTCCAGCAAGAGGAAGATCAGCCCTCATACTGATCTGGTCCCACCAAGGGGGCAAACCCGGGCAGTAACAGGGTTGTCAAGCCATTCTGACAAGAATACTGGCCGGGTACAGTGGGTCGCGCCTGTAATCCCAGCACTTCGGTAGGCAAAGGCGGGTGGATCACTTGAGGCCAGGAGTTCGAAACCAGCCTGGCCAACATGGTGAAACCCGTCTCTACTAAGAATACAAAATTTAGCCTGGTGTGGTGGCGCACACCTGTAATTGCAGCTACTGGGAAGGCTGAGGCACGAGAATCTCTTCAATCCCGGAGGCAGAGGTTACGTTGAGCTGAGATCGCACCACTGCACTCCAGCCTGAGTGACAGAACAGAGACTCCCTCTCTCAAGTCACAAACGCAGAAGGCTCACTGACAAAAACTTCAGTTCATCCTGTGTCTTAGTTTGCCCAGCTCTCCGACTTAAATCTCAGAAATAAATGAGCTTCCTTGAAAATTATGTCTACCATTTTCCCAAATAATTCTCAGATGCAAAGCGGGGAGAGTAAGGTGATGGCTCGAAGCTAGTGTCAGCCGCCAAGCAGAGGACACATGGCCCCTGCCCAGGGCAGATGGGCATGTGCCCGCCGGGCAGTTACGTGTGCAGTGTCTCACTGCCCTTGTAATTCTGTGGCCCCATATTGGCCGGGGATGGTGGGAGGAGGGCTTGCTCTCCTTTCCTCGGGTTAGAACTTTTTTGTTGAGGTGGAGTTTTGCTCTGTTGCCCAGGCTGGAGTGAAGTGGTGGGATCTCAGCTCACTGCAACCTCCACCTCCTGGGTTCAAGTGATTCTCCTGCCTCAGCCTGCTGAGTAGTTAGGATTATAGGCGTCCACCACACCCAGATAATTTTTGTGTTTTTAGTAGAGACGGGGCTTCATGTTGGCCAGGCTGGTCTCGAACTCCTGACCTCAGGTGATCTGCCCGTCTTGGCTTCCCAAAATGCTGGGATTACAGGCATGAGCTACTGCGCCTGGCCAAAACTCTTTAATTTTACTTACTGTTTCAAATGCTTAAATCTCCACACACGAGAGAGAATTTGAGACCACGCTAATGAAAGCCCCAGGTGGGTAGGGGTCTCCTTCTCATACCTTCAATGTCTGCAGGTGCCTCGCACCATGGTAGGCCCTCTCTAAAAACTTCAGTGCAAGCTCCTCCTCGACCCCATTGGCTCCACACCCAGCCCACTGCGCCCAAAGATGATGACAAGCTCCTCGGTGCCTCTCCCAGAGGCCCATCCAAACCTCTCCTCGCCTGGATGAACAGATCCCCCTGCAGGGAAGGCCGTTCTAAGCTTGCCACAGGTGTGATGTTTCTCAGCAGCAATTCCCAGGACAAAAAGAAAGAACCTCAGAACCATCTGCGTTTACATCTCTACCCTATTACGTATCAGCTGTGTGTTCCAGGGCAAGGTAGTTAACCTCTCAGAGCTTCAGACACCTCACCTATAAAATGGTGACAATTGTCCCTGACTCATATGGCCTTTGCAGGTGTTAAATGAGATCATAGGTGTAAAACGCCTGGTAAATAACATTAGGTTGAATCACATGAAATGGCTGATATTCAACCTTTTGACCAAGACAACAGGGTTTCACATGACTTGAGCTAATAAAACTAGATAACCTTTGGGCTGGCCTAAATAAGACATGACAAGAGAAAAGGACCATAGATGAAGAAAGAATGAAGAGTTAAGATATTATTTTGCAGAAATTCCCTACAGAAAATTCATAAACTTGGATGAATGTGATTTCCTAGAAAAACACAAATCACTAAAATTGACACATTAAGTGCTTAATAAGTAAATGGAGCCTGGGCAACATGGTGAGATCCCATCTCTACAAAAAAATACAAAAATTAACTAGGTGTACTGGTGTACACGTGTGGTCCCAGTTACTCAGGAGGCTGAGGTGGGAGGATCATTTTAGCCCAGGAGGTCGAGGCTGCAGTGAGCTATGATTGCATCACCGCACTTCAGCCCGGGTGACAGAGTGAGACCCTGACTCCAATAAATAAATAGGCCAGGTGCAGTGGCTCATGCCTGTAATCCTAGAACTTTGGGAGGCCAAAGTGGGAGGACTGCTTGAGCCTAGGCGTTTGAGGCCAGCCTGGGCAACGTGGTGAGACCCTTATCTCTACCAAAAATACAAAAAATTAGTCAGGCATGGTGGCATGTGCCTGTATTCCCAGCTACTCAGGAGGCTGAGGCGGGAGGATCACTTGAGTCCAGGAGGTGGCGGTTGCAGTGAGCTGTGATCACACCACTGCACTCCAGCCTGGGCGACAGAGTGAGACCCTATCTCAAAAAATAAATAAATACTGTCAGTTCCCAGCCCACCTTCACCCAAGATACTGTTCCTGCTCCCTGTCCTGACCCGATTCCCTGCCTCTCCTGGGCTGCGAATCGTCATCTTTCTTTGTCCACGTTTTGGCTTCTCTCCTGACCTCAGTGACTCCACCACCTCTGCCCACAGCACCCAATCCTGTCTCTCGTCCTATCTCCAGTGTCTGACTTCCCTTTGGATTTAGTCTCTCTCCCCCACTCTCTCTCTTTCTCTCTTACTCTCTCTCTTTCTCTTTCTCCTGATTAACTTCTTTCCTCTGAAATCTTGGATAATGTCACCCAGTCTCCCCAAAGCTCTGCCCCATCTGTCACCCAATGACAGCTCTGCCCCAGTGACACCCAATGAAGGTGTCATTATAATTTAGAGATTGCGAAGTGTCAGAAAACCCTCCGTTTGCTTCTCCACTTACCTGGAATGACCACACGGACCCCCAGTGCTCCCACGCTTGTGTTTGTGTGCTTTCTCTCCTCCAACCCGAATCACCACCCCCAACCCCTCCAATCATAAACAGGAGACTGGGGACCACCTTGGGGCCAGGGTCCTCTACTAGGATATTCCTCTGTCGTCTTAATGTTTTCCTTTAAGATCACAGAGTCTTGACCCATTAACTCTCAGATAAATGACTGAACTGTCCAACTCAAGAGGTCAGAAGAGGAACACACACACGCACATACACAACACAGAATACACACACACACAACACAGAAAGAACAAGGTCATCTTTCACGAATTGGTGAATTCACAGAAATCAGTGAATTAAGAAACAGAAAAACAGTGGAGTTAGTGTATACATTAATAAATGGGTTTTTTGGTAAGGGGTAAATGATTAACTATTTTATTTTATTTTTTTGAGACACAGTTTCACTCTTGTCACCCAGGCTGGAGGGCAGTGGTATGATCTCGGTTCACTGCAACCTTGGCCTCCTGGGTTCAAGTGACTCTCATGTCTCAGCCTCCCGAGTGGCTGGGACTACAGGGTGGGTGCTACCATGCCTGGCTAATTTTGTGTTTTTAGTAGACACAGGGTTTCACCATGTTGGCCAGGCTGGTCTCAAACTCCTGATCTCAAGTGATCCACCTGCCTTTGTCTCCCAAGGTATTGGGATAACAGGTGTGAGCCAATGTGCCTGGCCTCAAACAATTAATTGGACTAGTGGGTAGCCAGACCAAAAAAAAAAATATATAAGACATAGACATAAAATTCAAAAGAAAAATAGCAGTTTAATTTGCAATTCTCTACAAATAAGTCTGTAAATCTGGATGACACTGATGATTTTTTAGGAAAATATAAATTATCAGTGTAGGCCAAGAGTAGACTTTTTTTTTTTTTAAGAGACAGGGTCTTACTATATTGCCCAGGCCAGTCTCAGACTCCTGGGCTCAAGCTATCCTCCCACCTCAACCTCCCAAAATTCTGGGATTACAGGGGTGAGCCACTGTACCCAGCTAGTTATTAAGACCAGCTAGTTATTATGACTGTTATTAAGAAATTATTTCCCTTCCATCAAAAGAAAAGAAGCAAAACTCAATTTTACAAGTTAGTTCTTTCAAAACTTCAAGGAACAAATAATTTCAGTTTTATTTAAACATTTGCAGAGAACACAGAAACAGGGAGCTCTCCCTAATTCTTTTCATGAAGTCAGCATAATATATCAAGACAAACATCTGACCAGATCTCCTAATGTAATTCACCTCCTTCATAGTTGAAAGGATAAAAACAATAATAATTTCTATAGATAATAAAAATGGTATTTTGTGGGGGCCTGGAGCAGTGGTTCATGCCTATAATCCTACCACTTTGGAGGCCAAGGCTGGCAGATTGACTGAGCTCAGGAGTTCAAGACCACCTTGGGCAACACGGTGAAACCCCGTCTCTACTAAAATACAAAAAATTAGCCAGCAGTGGTGGCAGGTGCCTGTAATCCCAGCTACTCATGAGGCTGAGGCAGGAGAATTGTTTGAACCTGGGAGGTGGAGGTTGCAGTGAGCAGAGATCAAGCCACTGCACTCCAGCACTGGGTGATAGAGTGAGATTCTGTCTCCAAAAAATTAATAAATAAAAATAAAATAAAAAATGTTTTGTAGGAGCCAGGTGTGGTGGTTCATGCCTGTAATCCCAGCAGTTTGGGAGGACAAGGTGGGAGGATCCCTCCATCCCAGGAGGTGGAGGCCAGCCTGGGCAACATGGTAAGACCCTGTCCCTAAAAAAAATTAAGAATCCAGCTGGGTGTGGCGGCACACACCTGTAGTTTCAGCTACTGGGGAGGTTGAGGTGGGAGGATCACTTGAGCCTGGAAGTTGGAGGCTGCAGTGAACCGTGATTGCACCACTGCACTCCAGTTTGGGTGATGGTGGGAGACCCTGTCTCAAAACATAAAAATGCTGGCCAGGCTTGGTGGCTCACACCTGCAATCCCAGCATTTTGGGAGGCCAAGGCGGGTGGATCACATGAGGTCGGGAGTTTGAGACCAGCCTGACCAACATGGAGTAACCCCATCTCTACTAAAAATACAAAATTAGCCAGGCGTGGTGGTGCATGCCTGTAATCTCAGCTACTCAGGAGGCTGAGGCAGGAGAATCACTTGAACCCGGGAGGTGGAGTTTGCAGTGAGCCGAGATCGCGCCCTTGCACTCCAGCCTGGGCAATAAGAACAAAACTCCATCTCAAAAAAGAAAAAAAATTTAATAAATAAAAGTGAAAATGCTTTGTGGATAGTTGTTAGTGGATCCCTTCTTCCTACTAACGAGAAGCTCTGGTCCTTTTCCCCCGAGTCAGCGACAGGGCAGGGACAGCCACCACCACTGCGTCCGCTGGGCCTCATTCTGGCTGTACCAGCCAATGAGTCAATGGGAGAAAGAGAAACAGATATCAGACAGGAACTGAAAACTCCCCATGCACACCGATCCTATGGAAACAGAAGAACACCCAAGAGAATCGCAGGAGCACCAGTGGAAACGGGAGGATGACCCGTTTCCAAGTCAAGACACCAAAAGTAATAACCTTCCCACAGACAAGTAGTTAGCAAATATAATTGCAGAAAACCTCTGATCTGTAAGGAAAGCAACCAAAAAGATGTAAAATATCCTAGAACTAGGCCTGAGGAGTCTGCACAGGACCCATCTGAGAAGAGCGGTGGATGTGACTGAAGGCACAGTGGGTGACTCTGCGGGAGGAAGCCCTGCGCTTGGACAGGGAAGGCTCAACCCCACGTTTCTCTGCCCGGCCTTTTCCCTCCTCGCCCTCCCTACCACCTTTTCTGTCCCCTCTGTCCCATATGCCCTTCTTGGAGAGGACTGACCCCTGGTTCTCAGGCCCACGCAAGGGCTAACCGTAGCCAGGCCTGCCTCGGGACTTCCTCTGCTCAGGCTCCAGCCATTGGGCTGCCCTGGTTAAATCTCCACATTCCAGAGACTATTGACCCGTTCCCCACTCCCACCCTACCTCCCCCACCGCCCTGCCCTCCTCCACACCCTGCACCTGGTGAGCCGGGCATCTCCCCCACCCTCCCCACACACCCCTCCTCCACACCCTGCACCTGGTGAGCCGGGCATCTCCCCCACCCTCCCCACACACCCCTCCTCCACACCCTGCACCTGGTGAGCCGGGCATCTCCCACCCTCCCCATGCGCCTACTTGATCAGTGGCTGCCACTCTCCACCACGTCCTGCCTCTTCGTCCCTCTTCCTGTAAGAATTCAACTGAAAACCTAAAAGGTTCCTTTTCTGCACCAACCCCTTATCACTCGCTCCACTGTGGTTCAGCCAAGGTACCTGGAGTGCAGAAACAGGGGAGAGGCTCTGGCTCCTTCCTCTCCCAGAGTGTGGCCCTTCATCATCCATCCACACCCTGCACCTGGTGAGCCGGGCATCTCCCCCACCCTCCCCACATGCGCCTCGCAGTCAGTGGCTGCCACTCTCCACCCGTCCTGCCTCTCGTCCCTCTTCCTGTAAGAATTCAACTGAAAACCTAAAAGGTTCCTTTTCTGCACCAACCCCTTATCACTCGCTCCACTGTGGTTCAGCCAAGGTACCTGGGTGCAGAGCAGGGAGAGGCTCTGGCTCCTTCCTCTCCCAGGGGTGTGGCCCTTCATCTGTCCATCTTATATGGTGGACAGAGCGCAACCCGTTCTGCGTTCTGCACCGAGTCCAGACTCAGAGTGTCTCGTGTGACACCTGCCCTGCGGCCCTGCCCCTTGCACCCTCCCTCCCTGATGCAGACTTTCCCGGGCAGGGAGCCTCTTACCTAGGACCCAGAGAAGCAGCAGAGCCCAAGGCAGCCACATGGTCCCTTCCCCAGCACAGGCGGCACTTGCAGCGCCAGGCCCCAGCCGGACCCGAGGGGACAGTCACAACTCCAAGGCCCTGACTTCTGCTTTTCTTGGTGCCGCACTGCTTCCTTGTTCAGCTTCTTTTGGTTCTATTCCTGGAGCCGGCCAGAAAATGGAGGAAGTTGGGGAGCCCCGGCTAAGCCTCCCCTGGGAACGGCGCGTCCTCCTTAACCCAGGTTGAGGTTGCAGGTTCCTCGGCTATTTCTAGTGATGAGACCTCTCCCTGTAGTGACTCCCTAGCTTGCAGGACCGCTCCCCGACTCTCACCTCCCCGGGTCTCCTTCTAGTGGAAGGCCCAATAACTCCTTCCTCCTTTCCTTGTAGTCAAGATGGGCAACCCTGGGGGAGGGGCCCGCCGAGCCGGCTCCTCTCACCCTCGGTGGTGCCCACGAGGAGGCTGCCCGGGGGAACTCCCCTTTCCTGAGTCCCTTCCCTGAGTCCCTTGGGGGTCCAGGCCTGGGCTTCGGGGCTTAGGGAAGGGGAGTTGTCATCGTGGCCCCAGAGTCCCTGAATGGTTCCTAGTCTTGGAAATGTATTCAACTTGACACGGAGGTCCTCCAGCCACACCTTCCTTTCTATATAGCCCCATTGGAGCCAGCTCGGGGCTGGGCACAGAATAGGGACTCAGTGAGCCTGTAAGGACCCCTCTCTTTCCTGATCCACACGGAGTTCAGACTCAAAACACACACACTCACACACTCACACTCACATACACACTCACACAAACACACACATTCACACATACACTCACACCCACACACATTCACAAACTCACACATACATAAACACACACTCACACACATATTCACACACACACACAAACACATTCACAAACACACACACACTCACACACACAAACACACACATTCACACATACACTCACACCCACACGCATTCACAAACTCACATACACACACACAAACACACGCACACATATTCTCACACACACACACACACACAAACATATTCACAAACACACACACACATTCATACACTCACACACACGCTCATATATACACACTCACACACACACAGGCCCTCTCACCCACACACATTCACACACTCACATTCACACACACACAAACACACATTCACACACTGATACACACAAACACACATTCACACACACTGAAACACACATTCACACAATGCATTTACACACATATACAACTGAAATACACTCACATATACATTCACACACACAAACTCTCACACACACACTGATACATTCACACACAGTCACATACACTCGCAAACTCACACACACAGTCTCACACACGTGCCTTGAGTAGGTGCCCCGGCTTGCACAGAATGACCAGGTGGGCACAGGAAATGCCACTCCTAATGTGTAATGCGTCACCTGGGAACTTACAGTCCCCAAGCTCAGAGCGTCCACCCACACGGAGCCCTGTGCCAGCTATGGGATCCCAAGAATGCCCTTCTTGCTCCTTTTGGAATTTTTCACTATCCTCTTCCTTCCAGCCCCAGGAGCACCTTGCCCAGGAAGGTGTCAGGAGGCCAAGGAGACCTGTGGGCTCTGCGGCTGGAAGATTCAAGGACAGAGCCTGGGGGACATTGTGGAAATTTCCATGATGATGCAGTCATAGATTAACTAAAGCTCATTAAGATCCAAGACACTTTGGGGCCGGCCGCCGTGGCTCACTCCTGTAATCCCTGCACTTTGGGAGGCTGAGGCGGGCGGATCATGAGGTCAGGAGTTCGAGACCAGCCTGGCCAACGTGGCGAAACCCTGTCTCTACTAAAAATACAAAAATGTGGTGGGCGCCTGCAATCCCAGCTACTCGGGAGGCTGAGACAGGAGAATTGCTTGAACCCAGCAGGCAAAGGTTGCAGTGAGCCAAGATCGTGCCATTGCCCTCCAGCCTGGGCAACAAGAGCAAGACTCCATCTCGAAAAACAAAAAAAGATTCAAGACACTTCGGATCATGACACTGTTGAGCTGAACATAAAAATGCAGGAGATGCGTCATATTCGGTGGTTTTTGTGGCCTGATCATTGCAAAGTTTCTCAAAAATTATTTTTTGATTCAACCATGACCGAAAAGGAGCTGCTGCAGTCTTAAACATCCAGGCCAGACAGAGAAGCGGAAGGCTAAGTTCTGGTGTGGCTTGTCCACTTACCACTGAATGACCTTGAGCAAAGTCTGTGGCTTCTGTAAAACGTCAATAATGACGGCTTCTCTGTGGGAATAAATATTATAATGATTATACAAATACTGAAATGTCGGTGTTCGTTAACATCCTCAGGTCAGTTTTTCTGAGGGAATACATCTCTACTTTTGGTGAAAGGTAATAGGAAAATTGGATTCAACGGGAAGTGTGCTTCACAGATAATCGATGAGATGCAATTCTCCTTGGGCACATAGAGAAACACCTGACTTACTGCAAGGGAAAGGGATCGGGGGATCCCTTAGACCATGCCACGCCCATCCTGCTCACCCTACCCTGTCCACAAACCAAAAGGAAGAAACAAAATGGTGCAAAATAACCACAAAACATGAGCGAATTCAGGAAGTTGCACATTCTGGCTATGTCTGGATAGCCGTCAGGTGACATGACTCAGGGGGAGGATGAGCTGAGGCCACAGGGCTGAGACCCATTTCCCAGGGGTGGGGGTGGGGGGTGGTCCCACAGCAACCACAAAACTTCTGATCAGCTCTGGAGTCTCTTCCTGGTGTGGACACACATGCCCAGAGGCCAGTGAGAGGTGCTGGTGGTGATGTGGGGTTGGGAGCTTTCTGGGAAGACCTGCAGCAGCAGCATTGTGCCCTGTGAACCACAGGGTCCTCAGAAAAGATTTGCGGAGTGGATGGGCTATGGCACTTCCCAGCAGAACTTCCCTTTTGAAAGCAGCCCAGTCTCAGAGCCACCCTCCTGCCGGGGCAGCCTGGCTGTTCCCCATCCACTCTGTTCCTTCCTCCCCTGAGCTTGAAGCTGGGAGGGCCTCAGCCCCATGGGTGCCACTCAAGGGCGGCCCAGAGGCTGGGCATCCAGAGCTGAGAAGCGGGATCGGGGCGGCGTGACTGTGGCCCCCCATTGGGACGAACAGCTTGACAGCTGCTGAGCACAGGATGGAAAGGGGGGCAGGCTGACCTCCTGACCTCTCGGGGGAACCTGCTGTGGCTTGGTGCTCTTGCTGTGTGTACTTCGAGTTGTGTACTCAGGGTCTGAATGAGATTTGCAGGGGGAGGGGCATTAGGGAAGGACAGAGACGGGGGACTAGGAAGATCTCGCTTCCTTTCTTTCCGCAGGAGCCTGGGTGAGACCAACTGCAAGAGCCTGATGCTACCTGGGGACAGCCCACGCCCTGCCCTCCTGCCCATCTCTGGGGAAGCTTCCCCACCCCTCCTGCAGCCCCCAGAGGCTCAGGCAGCTTCAGCAACTCATGCCCTGGCACGTCCCACGGTCCCCAGGCCATACATAGTCCACACCAGCTGGTCACGATGACTGGTTACCTGCTCTCCTGGTTGGTCCTGGGTGTATTGTGGTCAAGATGAAGAGGAAGAGGAAGCTGTAGGCAGATGTGTGGTGATCATAGTCAGAGGCCTGGGAGCCTCAGCGTCCCACAAGGTTTCCTGTCCATGATGCCACTGCTCCATGCAGGCCCCAAACCCAAGCACGCCTGTAGTCCCGGCTACTCAGGAGGCTGAGGCAGGAGAATCGCTTGAACCTGGAAGGCAGAGGTTGCAGTGAGCCAAGATCACGCCACTGTACTCCAGCCTGGGGTGACAGAGTGAGACTCTGTCTCAAAAAAAAAAAAAAAAAAAAAAAAAGAACACTGGCTCCGCCTTGGCTCTGTCCCCACCCCCCACCCATCCCTGGTTGTCTGTCCCATAACTGGTTGGCCCCAAGGGGACACATTGTGACCCTAAAAACTTACGGTGGCAGGGAGGGGAGTGAGCAGAGACTGGACAGAGTGGAGCTGGGGTGGGCCAGATGGTGAAACTTAGCCCTGGAACAGGCAGGTTGTGGGGAGGTGCTTGAGGGGGGGTCCCACAGTCCTGCTCCTAACTCCCAAAGTGGCTGGAGCCAGGGGATGCCAATCAGACAGTGGGACCCAGCAGCCAGGAAGGGGTGCAGTCTGCAGCCCCCTGAAGAAGCTGCTCTCCTTGGAACTCTGGTGAAGTCTGAACTGGCTAGTCACAAGCAGCCCCTGTCGCCATCTGATGGTGGCTGCTAGAGCTGCCCACTTTCTTGGACAGGCAAATCAGTTCTTATCTCTGCAGGTCTGGAAGTGGAGAGGCGTCTGTATGCGGATCCTTCCAGACTCCCCAGCCGGTAGACCAGGAACAGGGGAAGACTCCAGCCCCTTTGGAGGAGAATCTGAAGGCTCCAGAGGGTGAAGCCCTCCAAGGGAGAGGAGGAGTGGATGAAAAGAGAAGGGGAGGCAGAAGTCACAGGGGAGGCCTGGGCACAGTGGCTCAAGCCCAACACCTTGGGAGACGGAGGCATGAGATCACTTAAGCCTAGGAGGTGGAAGCTGCAGACAGCTATGATCGTGTCACTGCACTCCAGCCTGGGAGACAGAGAGAAACCCTGTCTCTAAAAAAATAATGAAAATGTTTTAAAAAGATGTCACAGAGGAGGAAAAGGCACAATGCCCAGCCTTCAGACCAGGCCACCCAGGAGGGTCCACGGGTGCCGTGGCTTGGCCTCTCTGGTCTCTTGGGCTCCTGGTTGGCAGTCGAGGAGACCCAGGGGACTCTCAATGCCCAAGAAGGCCTGTAGCCCTGAGGCCAAACTGGGACTGTCCAGCTGCCCCAGTAGCGTAAGCAGGCTGCAGCACCGTGGCCCCACGGCCTGCCTTTGATGGACTGTTCCAGGAGAACAGGCTGCAGCACTGTGGCCCCACGGCCTGCCTCCGATGGACTGTTCCAGGAGAAGGGAGGGGCTCGGCTGCAGGCGGGGAGTTGCCTCTAGGACTGAGAGGACAAAGACAGGAACCTGGGTTTCACGCCTCCCTCCCCTCCCCTGAGTAAGGTTACATGCTTTACCTTAAGGCTCTGGGGTCAAGGGACACCGCCCCAGGGCTCCCAGCTGGCAGTGACCCCTTTGTGAACATGTGTTTTGGTCATAGGTGCAGGAACCCAGCATTGTGACTTTAAATATTGCTGAGGGCCCGGGCGTGGTGACTCACACCTGTAATCCTAGCACTTTGGGAGGCTGAGGCAGGTGGATCACTTGAGGTCAGGAGTTCAAAACCAGCCTGGACAACATGGTGAAACCCTGTCTTTATTAAAAACTCCAAAAAATTATCCGGATGTGTTGGCGGGTGCCTGTAATCCCAGGTACTTGGGAGGCTGAGGCAGGAGAATTGCTTGAAACCAAGAGGCAGAGGTTGCAGAGAGCCTAGATCATGCCACTGCACTCCAGCCTGGGTGACACAGCAAGACTCCATCTCAAAAAATAAAAAATAAATAAATAAATACTGCTGAGATCTCTAGCTTCTAGACAATAGGAGGGTCAACTTTTATCGTGGGCGGTTTTGGGGGTGTATTAGTCAGGGTTCTCTAGAGGGACAGGACTAACATAGATGTAGATATAAAGTGGGAGTTTATTAAGGAGTATGGACTCACACAATCACAAGGTGAGACCCCACAATGGGCCATCTGCAAGCACAGGAGCCAGGAAGCCAGTCCGAGTTCCAAAACCTCAAAAGCAGGGAAGCTGACACTGCAGCCTTCAGTCTGTGGCCAAAGGCC